GCGGCCGGACACTTCAACTTCGCCGGCGAGAGGCGGCGCCGGCGAGAGAGGCAGCGGAAAGGTTGGCCGACCGGACGGGAGCCTCAGGTTTTCGCGATCTGGAGCTTACGGGCGGAAAGAATCGGGAAGCAGGTGAGCCGATCGGGTGTGGGGGAAAGGGAGGAGTCATTTTAAGTAGGTGGGCCCTTTTGGCTGAGGCGTACGCCTCTCTCAAAATTGCGCAATTGCGCAACAGAGGCGCGCCTCAGCCAATGTGAGGCGTACGCCTCACCATTGCCAGCAATTGTGCACGCCTCAAGGCGTTTTTTGCAAGAATTGCGCAGAGGCGCGCCTCTTATTGCGCAATTTTAAACAGAGGTTTGAACATATGTAATAGCTCCTACATGCATATCCTTAATGACTTGAAAATAAGCATTATTAATCCCTTTCTTTTCTAGAACTCTCCATAGCACTTTTCTTGAAACTTTCTCATATGCTTTCACTAAATCAATAAATATCATATGTAGATCCTCCTTATTCTCTATATACTTCTCCATCAAACCTTTCAATAAATGTATGGCTTCCATAGTAGACCTACCTGGCATGAATCCAAATTGATTTTGAGAAACATTAGTATCCCGCCACAACATATTCTCCATAACTCTTTCGCATAGTTTTAAAGTCTGACAATTAACTTAATTCCTCTATAATTCAAACAATATTGTGCATCACCTTTATTCTTAAAAATATAAATCAACACACTCATTCTCCACTCATCTGGCATCTTTTTAGTCTTCAAATAATATTAAAGAGTTTGGTAAGCCAAGAAATTCATTTCTCTTAAGCATTTCCACACCTCTATTGTAATATCATCAAATTCAACATCTTTTCCACACTTCATTTTCTTTAAAAGCTCTCTAACTTCGGTTTTACTAATATGCCGATAAAAACAAAAATATTAATATTTATTTAGGATACTAAGGTTACTAAAGTCAATCGCATTCTCATAATCTTCATTGAAAAGTTTAGAAAAATATCTCATTCACCTTTGTTGAATATCCTTTTCTAATAACAACACTTTTTTATCCTCATCCTTAATACACTTCACTTGATCTAAAGTAATGCATGCTACTAAATTAGGAATCTTCAAACTTAGAACTTGCAACCTGCAACATGTGAAGGGGAGAAACCAGGGATTTCAAGCAATTATAGTGCAACAAAAGTTTAAGAGGCACTTGTGCCGTAGAGCATAAATCAGAACAGCAAAAAACTAATCTGCAGTAAATTTATATTACAATGAAACAAAGAGATTCATCAGTACAGGTTAAAGGGAAGCATAAATTCCACAATTCATGAACTCCAACAACAAAGCTTGGTATCCAACGACAACAGTCATGGACCAACCGCAATAGGAACCAAAACAAAGAGGTTGAATTTGCTAAGTATCAGAAGAAGAAAAAAAACATTATCCAACCCCAATTGATAATTCTGGTTTGAGCGCCACAATTTTTATTCATGTAAAGCTGTTCTAGGTCAAATGCTAAAGATTATAGATAACTAAAACACACACACAAATAAATATAAGCGGATAAGAGAAACAACTCTCTATCTCTGTATGCATTAGAATGAAGTATACCAAGAACTAACTCCATCACAATTTACACCTCAATAAAATTGATTGGTTCAAGGAATAAAGTCAAACTGCCACATTGATTATTCTCATATTAACTAGAGACTTATGGTAAAAAAATCAGAATCAATCTTAAGGAATTTTTAGAAGAAATCTGTACAAATGGTAAGATTAAAGCCGCATAAAAAAATTGATTATAAACCTACACACCTTGGAGCTAATGAAGGTTTCATGAAATAGAAGTACGTTGACAGAGTTTGATGCATGACATAATTCCCTGTATACTTAGCAGATCTTGATAAATATATCACTGCTATTATAAGAGGTAAAAGAATGCAAACTCCAACAATTCCAAGAAGAAGTATCCCGCCGGATGCACCATCAAAATTTAGCAGGAATTTAGGTAATGCAATCCCCATTTCAAGCCCCTGAATGAAAAACAGATAACGCCATACTATTAGCATTGTTACATGCTGAAACTAACCATGGATTTGCACATCAATGAATACAGATCAACAGAATAAATAAAATAGCATTACCTGCCTACCATCTGGGTGACCATACTTTTCATAGTTTTCACGAGATATAGGATCAGTCAAAGCCTGGTATGCTTTGGAGATAAATTCTACAAAATACTTGTGGGCCTCTGGAAAGTGAAGTGGTATTAAAAGTCAGATGAGACAAGCAATTATCATTCCAACTGCAGATGATCATAAGCATGAAAGAGTCCAAAAAAAACACACCTGGATCAGGGTTTTTATCTGGGTGATATAAAATGGAGAGCTTTCTATATGCCTTCTTTATTTCTGAATCAGACACTCCTGGTTCTAACCCAAGAATGCTAAATGGTTCAAATGGTTGGATCTATTAAGCACAAGAAGAAGACAGTTCAATGATGTGATTCAGAGGATCTATTATGATAAAATATTGAAAAAAAAAAAAAGACTGCATTTAGAAGAACAAATCACCCTTAGGAATATTCAACTAACTTGAAACCAGTGAGAATCATATTCTAGTATAAGTTGCTTCTGTGAAACCAAGATAACTTGGAACACTAAACTAGCCGCATCAGAATACTTATAAAGACAATGAAGCATTTTCATCTTCAACGCATTTTATTTTCTACAAGCAAAATTTTCAAAAAATATTACCATTGGTGCCTAATTTACAAATAAGATGAGGTGAAGGAGATGACCTATTCACTTCATCAATTCAATAAGCCTGGTTTAGAGAATGAATTTTTTACTACAATGATTGTAGTAAAATCTTAAGAACCAAAAATTTTGAATATGCTAAACAATACTGGGGACAGATTTGGTTACCGAAGTAAGCAGGGAAAAAAGGCAGAGGAAGATGACATTTCCTTCCAGTTTTCTTGTTTTGCTCAGAATTGGCAACACGAAACTCTCACTTTCAATAAGTTTAGTGAATATTTGAAACTGGAATTTTCCTTGTGTAAGCTATAAATTCATTTAGAACCAATAAATATGTTTTCATTTAAAAAAGAAGACCAGCCGACTCCTATGGATATTTGCTTATTAATTAAAAGACTTTCTCTTTCTGGCCCTGTTAGTAAAAAAACAATGAAACCTTATTTTTCTTTTCAATTACTTAAGAGACTCCCACTTTATGAGGAAAGCCATCCTTCTATACCACAACGCAAACAGGCATGAACTTAAGGTCAGATATAGCACTTCTTTATACACTAAAATTAAAATTAGATAAGCAAGATCTTTCTCTGACTCCTAGAAAGAGACCGGTAAACCAAAGAAAATAAAAGGGAATCAACAGTTCAAAGCTAGCAAACTACAGATAATGTCACATACCTCGCGACTTGTACGCTTGATGTAATAAACTAGAATCACCATAATCACCCAGAGTAGCAGAATTGTCAGATTACTGCAAGTAGAGAAGTTGGAGATCTGCACATAAAAAAAGCTTGAGAAAATTCCTTAGTAACAAAACAACAGTATTCACTGAGTTATTATGGTACTGGTCTATAGAATAAGCTAAGAGGCACATTTTGCAGTAGCAAGTTTACCCGTTTTAAAATGGATCTTTTATACTTCCCAGAACGTGAACATACAGAGCATTGGCAATGGATGGTCCTCGTTTTTCTTGTTACAGAACGGGATAGTCTAACGATTGTGTAGGGCACTACAGAAAGAGCCATCATAGTGAGGATGAATATGGGAAAAAGTGAACCATTCTCCTCAGGTGTCGCCATTACTCCCTACTGCAGATAAGAAGCAACATTGCAAATGAAATATGAAGCACTAAAGGTCAACAATCTCATGCAAAATAATCAAAACATGAAAAAAAAAGTAATTTATAATTCGAAAATTAAGACCATATTACTACAAAAAGAAAGAAATTACAGTTAAATCTTATCAATCGCTAAAGTAACAGATCAATTAAGCTGCTTCTAGTACAGTGCTCCTTCAGCGGAACAAAAATACACATAGTCCACCCATAGTAACAAGATATTTGACATATCTCAAGCTTCAAGAAACTGATATTTTCAAACTGAACATAAGAATTACTGAACATGTTAAACAGAATAAAGCTTAAACCTTTGATCGACAGAGATGTAACTCATAACAGATCAAAACTTGCAAGATCAAGTTTTATTAAATGTCCATGAAGGAAACGGTGCTTTATTTTTTTCTATCATCACTAAAAGCACAAGTTAAGCCTTCCATGCATCCTAAACTCAATTTCCCATAAAAGCGTAAAACCATCAAATCCAGAAGCAAAAAATATACACCAGTACCAGAAATTTACAAATGCTAAGGGGCTGTTTGGTATGCGGATTTAGGCCGGATTTAGGCCGGATTTGGGCGAAATCCAGCCAAACGGCCTAAAATGCAAAATCAAATCTCACTGTTAATCAAAGCCGCGGTTGACGGAAAATTCCCTCTTTTCGTGGTAAATCCCGGATTTACGAAATCTTTGGTTCGGCGGATTTACGGGATTTGGTCTAAGAAGCGCGCGAAAGGGAGAAAGTTACCTTCACAGCAAGCGAGCTCCCGTTGTTGCTTCAGATCAAAAAAAATGTCGTAACTTCCGATCCAACAGAACAGGAAGGTAATATCGTCGAAGGAGCAAAGTCGAACGGCGAGGAAGAAGAAGAACTGAAAAATTCTACACTCGTGCCAATGAACAAAGCCCCAATTGAGCTGTAGTGATTGTGAGCTGATGGTTGGCTAAGTATAAGATTGTGTATTTACATTTTGGAGTTTTTACATACATAACACTTAAAACTTTGTTATTTACCTATCTAACACTAAAACTTTCATATTTACTGTTCAGTCACCCAAAACACTAATAAGTAACCTAAAATACCACTCCCGTTACCTCCGTCAACCCGATCTTGTCTTTTGGGCGGGAATCGTCCCGATCGATCGACGTCGATTTCTCTACGCCGCAGCTCCTCTTCTCCACTCCGCTCAGGCTTCTCCCCGCCACAGCTCGTCTTCTCCACACCGCTTCCGATCACAATTACGGTTGCCACCGTCACAATTTTTGCTTATAAAAGTTCCTTTCGCACACATGGCTTCCTCCATGGAAAGTTCGCCAAGCTAGGTAGTTAAGAAGGCACGAGAATAGGCTAGTGAGTCTGAGTGCCAAGCTAGCAACACGCACGGAGAGAGAGAGAGAGAGAGAGAGAGAGAGGTGTTGATGGTGCTTTGGCTGCAATGTCGCAGGAGCATCTGAGCCTCCCTGAGTTGCAAGGTTTCCAGGTCTGTTCGCCACTCCACTCTCCCAGGCAGGAGGAATTGCTTGTCATTGAGGTCTCCGACAAAGTGCGCCAGGAAGACACCAAAGCAAAATCTGCTAATGCTGCGCAGTTTGCAGCTTCAGAGATGGAATTTCCCAACAGGAAGTTGGAAGAAGAGGGAGTTATTGCAGGAGAAAGAGCAGAGCATGGTGGAAGCGAGCGTGGTGAAGGGGATGAAAAGCCTGCGCCACCACTGCTGGCGGTGAGCTGCTTTGAGCTATTCCGATTTGCCGATAGGCTAGACTACGTGCTTATGGCTATTGGCACCGCCGGAGCCATCATTCACGGCTGCTCCCTCCCGGTGTTCCTCCGATTCTTCGCAGATCTTGTCGATTCCTTCGATTCTAACGCCAACAACGCCGATACAATGGTTCGAGAAGTCATCAAGGTTTGCCATATCCATCACCTTCGTTTTAACCCAATTCTTAATCATCATCGAAATTAACCATTTTTTTTTTTAATTTTGCAGTATTCCTTCCACTTTCTAGTCGTTGGAGCTGTCATTTGGGTGTCTTCTTGGGCTGGTAAACTTCTTCGCCTTTCAATTTTGCTTGATTTATGTTGCCCAAATGTATAGCTAGCTGTAACAGTGCAGAAATCGTTTAAACCGTGAAACTGAGATTTCTTGCTGGATGTGGACGGGGGAGCGACAGTCTGCGAAGATGAGAATAAAATATTTGGAGTCGGCGCTTAACCAAGACATTCGCTATTTTGACACCGAGGTCCGCACCTCGAACGTCGTCTTCGCCATCAATGCCGATGCAGTCATCAGTTCCAAAAGCCAAGACTCGCTCTCTCAGGCCAGCAAGAGGCAACCGAGCAAGCGAAGCAGTCGGTCGGGTGTGCAGTTAACGGAAAGTTAGTTTTGAAGAGAGACGGTATTTTGGGTGGCTGAACAGTAAATATGAAAATTTTAATGTTAGATAGGTAAATAACAAAGTTTTTAAGTGTTATGTATGTAAAAACCCCAATAAAATTTTGTTATATTTTATTTAAACTTTTCTTGTCGTAATTTAATTGTTCTAATAACGTACGTTAACTCTTTTAACCCCTCAGGATTTCGTAAATCCGAATTTGGAAGATTTATGAAATCCTACTTAATTGAAATCCTAAATTCTATCAAAGAGCCCCTAAGTGCAATCTTCACAACGCATAAAACGGGCAGAGGTAGAGAGCCGCTCAGTTAAATGGATTAAAATCTGAAATTATCATGAAAAGAAAATCCCAACAATAGAACTGGTGATCAGAGCATCATAGAGCTGTTTGGATACAGGTTCTGAGCAGGATTTGAGTTAAATCTTGCCAAAAAAAACGCCTCCGTTTTCCACCAATTTTCCGTAAATCCCGTATTTAGTAAATGCTATGGGACTGTTTGGATGCAGGATTGAGACCGGATTTGAAGCGGATTTGAGCTAAATCCAGCCAAACGGCCAAAAATGCAAAACCAAATCTCACAGTAAATCAAAGCCGCGTTTGACAGAAAATTCCCTCTTTTCGTGGTAAATCCCGGATTTACGAAACCTTTGGTTCCGCGGATTTACGGGATAATTAATATGATTTTAAATAAATAGTTATTATAAAAAACTATAAATAATTAATTAGTACTAGAATATTAATTGGTATTAATAAAGTTTTATTATATTTTATTGGATTTCTCTCATCTTACTTTAATTATCCTAATAATATAGATAAACTATTTTAATCGCCTTAAATCCTGAATTGAATAGTCAAATAATAACAAAGAATTTAACAAAATTTATCATGAATATTTTCAAACAGTTTTCAGGATTCAATCCCCTTAGAATTTTGTAAATCTGAATTTGAAAGATTTATGAAATCTTATTTAAATGAAATCTTGTTGCAACCAAACAGTCCCTATAGTTCGGCGTGTATTGGATTTGGCCGAAGAAGTGCATCAAAAGGGAGAAGCAGCTAGTACCGTTGTAACTTAGGCTTTATTTATTGGAAGTTTTTGGTGCTTATTCCGTTTTAAAACGACAAAGCTATTTCTTCTTTACTGTTGGTTCGTCAAATCACGTTCATAATAACTCCTTTTTTCTCATTTTTATGTTGTTTAGAGAAATTTTTTATATATGCTTCTCTGTTAGAAAAATTCATTTTTTGAACCAATGTTTCTTAAAACTGTCTGCTACAAAAGTACCAAAAAAATCAAACGAAGCCTTATGATCATATAGGAACAAAGTTGTCGAAGGATCCAAAGAAGCTTCTTTAGCAACTCATTCAGAATTTATGTTCCCACGAAGCACGCTCAACACCAAAGAACGTGAAACCTAAGTGAATTGGAGATGGCAATGAGCAAAAGAAAATCGTAGGCAGGCCTATGGCTTTACGAAGAGAATAGACGGACCAACGAGAAGAGAAAATATAGATAGCATAACTTGAACATCAACTTAGAACAGCACCAATTTAATCATTGCTCGATCAAGCTATTCAAAATTCGATAAGTCAAGTATTTTAAACTTTTAACGTTCCCCTTTTTGTTCGCTGAGGAGCTCCATTAGCTCCAAATCGAAGAAGATCACAGTAGTTGTTAAAAAAATAGACTAAGGCAGAAAGAATTATTACAAATGAATATAGAAGATAAAAAGCAAACCTTATTGCTCCTTCCCCTTCCTCAGAACAATTGAAGCTCAGAGGTTTGCGACCCAAAATCCAACCCTCCTCTTTGGCGATCTAGGGCTTCTCTAAAACCAAAAACACTGGATTTAACGAATCGCTTAGAGGCTCTTTGGACACAAGATTTAAGCAAGATTTGAGAGCAGGACTTGTTCTGAGGTTTTAACACAATTTAACACCCACCCACGTTCTTCCGAGCTTTTAATTTGTCGCTACAACCTGCGCAGAGCAGCGGTTATGAATAACAAGCCGTAAGGTCGAACAGGGCTGAAGGAGGAAATTAAAATTTGGAAATAGCGAGCCGCCCACAAGCGAACAAACAATATTAGGAAAAAAATATTTTAAAGAGTATATATATATATATATATTTAGCATCCTAAAGTATATGGGGATCTGCCCTGAGTTCTGCACTCTCTTCCTATTGTCGCAGATTTGCTAGGTTTGTTTTTTCACCCTTCTCGCAATTCGTTGTTCTTCGACTAGCCTCTTGGCATGACAGATAGAGTTTTGAACAAGTGGCTAAATAACTTCTTCAATGTAGTTCCTTCCTGTCGAATCCGAAATAACACCTCTTCGCTGTTTGCCTGTTCGATCAAAAGCAACAGTGACAACAAGAGGTTTCTCATTTAGAAGGTAGCCATCTTCCTTCCATTCACATGCTTATTCGGCCTAATCCCGTAAATACGCCGAACTCCTAGATTTAGTAAATCTGGGATTTATGGAAAAAAGATCGCGGAGGATTTAACTCACTACTAACTTAAGTCTGCAATCATCTGCTCATCATCACATGTTATAAGCAAATCATTTACATATAAGCATATAATCAATATGCTGTCATTTGAGTCTATATTCATATACACACTATGTTCATAAGGGCATTTAGTGAATCCTTCTTCTCTAAAATGGTTATTAATGCATAAATTCCAAGCCCTCGGGGCTTGCTTCAAGCCATACAAAACATTTTTAAGCAATATAGTATATGCTCTTTTTTCTTCACAATAAAACTTTAAGTTCGATCTACATATACTTCTTCCTCCAAAGCACCATTCAAGAAAAACTGACTTCACATCTAATTGATGAATTTGCCATCTATGCATAGCTGCAATAGAGAAAATTAATCTAATTGTATCAAATCTTGTTAGCAACTGGTGCAAATACCTCTTCATAGTCTATCACATGCTTCTGTTACAGATCTATGGTTTATGATTTTGATGATAGCAAACATTCCTTATTTCTCTATGATTGCCTTATGTGCTAACGTTTCAGGTCCACACGATCAGACTGCAATCTGGAACCAGCTCAAGATTGGGTAGACTAGGTCTGTGTCAGTTTGTAATCTTTTTCCTTTCTTGAGTCTGTTGTATTTGGTGTGGCTATAACTTGGTAGAAATTCTCTTGCTCCCTATATGATTTCTGTTTTTGTAACATCGGCCAGGACGATCTGTACAAAATCAGAAACCCTTGTTAGGGCATCCTCATTAAGGCAGCCGTCAACAGATCGGCCTGGACGATACTTATATCGGCCAGGACGATAATCTCAATTCAGAAAGAATCAACCGCCATAATCAGTTTAGGAAGTCTTTGTTTTAGGAAATCGGCCCGGACGATATTATTATCGTCCAGGACGATCTAACTCAATCATGCCTAAATTGATCTGGTATCTTTGGAAAGCATTAATGGTTGATTGATACGATCACATCGTCTGGGACGATCGTATGATCGGCCAGGACGATGGCCTGGACGATC